AACATATCATCAGTTGCTGAAATTCCCAACTCCCAAAGGGATTAAACAGATAAAAGGTGACCAACCGGCAGCAAGGGAGATGAATGCAATTTTGGTCTCCAGTAGCAAAAGGAAGGATCATGCGGCACAGTAATTGCAGGAACTGGCGCCTGCTCCCGAATCAAGTGAAGTCAACTAGGGGGAAGAGGCGTCGGAATCTTATTAGGTTCCAAGGTATTTCCAGGTACCAGAAGAGACGAACGCGACGAAGTCCACAGTGGAAGAGCTTGAGCAAGTCGCATTATTTGAAAAGTTCTTAGAGAGGAAATTCCACTTGGGGACAGGACTGCACCCTGAGCTCAGGTCTGGATTTATCGAATTTCTTAAATTTAATGCCAACTATTTTTTCGTGGTCGTATGCGGATATGACAGGTATCCCGATGGAACTGGCCGTACATAAGTTGAGCTTGGATCCCAGCATCTCTCAGGTAAGACAAAAGAAATGTCCTATTGCAGAGGCTAGAAATAAATTCGCCAAGGAAGAGGTAACTCGCCTACTTGATATCGGTTCGGTTCGAGAGGTAATGTATCCAGACTGGCTAGCTAACGTAGTAGTAGTTCCTAAGAAAAATAATAAATTTCGCATGTGCGTAGACTATAAGGACTTGAAAAGGTACTTGTCAAGCCCTCCGTTATTATCAAATCCGGAGGAAGGTGAAATGTTGTTAATCTACCGAGCAGTCTCGGAGGTAGCGGTGAACGTTGTTTTAGTCCGTGAGGACGAAGGTACGTAATCTCCCATTTATTACGTTAGTAGAATTTTAACGGGAACAAAAATTCGCTACCCGCATTTGGAGAAGCTGGCCTTAGCTCTCGTGTCGCCGCTCGAAAGCTGAGGCCTTATTTCCAATATCACTCGATTACTATGGTGACCACCTTTTCCCTGCAGAATATCCTTCGCAAACCCGAACTCTCGGGTGGATTGACCTAATGGGCCATCGAAATGAATGAATTTGACATAGAGTATAAACCTAGGACTGCGATTAAGTCGCAAGTTTTAGCTGCCTTTGTGGCCGATTTCATTTCGGGATTGCTGCCTCTGGCAACCAAAGAAGCAGTGATGGTGTCAGAATCAACATCAAGAGTTTGGACCCTATTTACAAACGTAGCTTCGAACGTAAAGGGGTCCGTGCTTGGCATAGTGCTAACTGCACCATCAGGAGAAACCCTAACGCATGCCATAAGAATGGTCCCTTTGACTAACAACGAAGCAGAGTATGAAGCTTTGATTGCAGCACTCGAATTGGCCCGGAGCTAGATTCTGAGGTCATATAAGTCAAATGCGACTCCCAGCTGGTGGTAAATCAGGTTCACGGAATCTTCGAAACCAAAGAGGAGCGCATACAACAATACGTAGTGAAGGTTCATGCTCTGCTAGCTCGATTCCGGGAGTGATCGATTACGCATATACAAAAGGAAAAAATGCAGAAGCGGATGCATTAGCTAACCTTGGTTCACCAATGGAAATAAAAGGGTCGGATTCCTGGACTGTAGTGCAGTTCATGCACTCGGTTGCGGACGCAGATAGCTACTATGAGGTGAATACGACTAATTTGGTCTGGGAATAGAGGAATGAGATTATTGATTTTCTCGAACACGGGAAGTTGCCCGAAGATTCCAAGGCATCCTGGGCACTGCGCGGCAAATCAGCATGATATAGCTTCAAAGGAGGCCAACTGTACAGGAAATCTTTCCAAGGACCGCTTGCCCGATGCTTGGGAGCCTCCAAAGCTAATTATGTTATGCGAGAAGCTCACGAAGGGATATGTGGAAATCATTCGGGCACAAACTCCTTAGTACTAAAGCTAGTAAGGGCAGGATACTATTGACCCCGAATGGAACAAGACGCCAAACCTTTCGTGCAAAAATACGATAAGTGTCAACACTATGCACCACCGGTACATCAACCTGCAGAACCATTACACTCAGTTCTATCTCCATGGCCATTCATGAAGTGGGGAATAGATATTGTCGGACCACTGCCGCCGGCCCCTGGTAAGGTAAGGTTTCTTTTCATTTTAACTGACTATTTTTCTAAGTGGGTTGAAGCATGTTCTTATCAGAAGATCTGCGAACATGAGGTGGTGGATTTCTTGTGGGAGAACATAATTTGCAAATTTGGAATACAAAAAGAGACAGCCTGCGAAAACGGGCCACAGTTTATAGGCGCAAATGTCACAAAATTCTTGGTAGACTTGAAAATCAAAAGAATCACATCTTCACCCTATCATGCGAGCGCAAATAGTCATGCGGAATTAATGAGAAAAATGATTATACAAAATCTCAAGAAGAGGTTGGAAGCGGCTAAAGGTAAATGGCCTGAGGAACATCCAGGAATGCTATGGGCGTACCGAACAACGGCCAAATCAAGCACAAGAGAAACATCTTTCTCCCTTGTGTACGGAGCAGAAGACTTAATCCCGGTGGAAGTAAGAGAGCCTACCTTGAGATATTTCCAAGCAAGTGAAGAGACAAACAACAAAGTGATGTTAGTCAACTTGGAGCTACTCGATGAGCGCAAGAACTTGGCGCATATAAGAATGGCAGCCAAAAAGAAAATAATAGAAAGATATTATAATCGAAGAGCCAACCTCCATTACTACAAAGTGGGAGACTTGGTTATAAGGAAATTAACTCAAAACACCTGGGAACTCAACGGAGGGAAGCTAGGTCCAACCTGGGAAGGCCCCTACCGGGTTTCAGCAGTCACTAGGAAAGGTTCATACGAGTTCGAGAATCAGGATGGAGAAAAGTTTCCAAGCAACTGGAATGTGGCACACCTCACGAGATATTATTTCTGATGAACATCACCTGTACTGAAAGTATGTGCTGCACTTTTTTTCCCTTCGTCCAGTTTTTGTCCCAATTGGGTTTTTCTGGCAAGGTTTTTATCGAGGCAACAACGAAAAGCACACTACGAAGAAGGTTTGCAAGGCACACAAGCGAAGAACCACTCCGGAGCTGTTAGATAATATTTGGCTCGATAGAAAAATTCCCATTGAGATATTAAGTTTGCTATCAAGCAAAGGTTACCGGACCGTTTACAAGTGCAAACTACTAGGGGATTGTTAGATAGTCTTTGGCTCGATAGTATAAATTCCTAAGGGTAAGTGAAGTTTGTTACCGAACTAAAGATTATCTAGCATTCTTCGCATTCAAACACTGGGGGGGGGTGATATGAGGATACAACAACAATGACTTCCACGTCGACCGGACAAAAACCGGAAACATAGTTGTATCATCGGGATCGGGGATTGCGCCGCCAACCCCGTAGAAACAAGTTGTACAAGTTAGCCACTGGAAATGGCAGTTTCTTTTTAGCATAACGAATGCTTATGTACTTTTTGAAAATGGAATGAATAAAGAAAAGTCTTTTATTTCTATCTTGTTTTTTGTCTGAACAATGAATAGATTTTATCATTTGAAAGTTACACAAGTACTTCAAATGCTGGTGTTGTAATGAACGTGAGACGTCCTCTTCAAGAGCATTGTAAACATAAGAGGGCCCTCTCTTATAAAAACCCTCACGATAAAGGGTTGACTTAGGAAGAACTTGTGCCCGAAATCTAAATGATTTTGGGGGAAAAGTACACCCAAGGCCTTACATAATCAGATGCAAACAATAAAACTTGTCCAAAACACTTAAGCAAGAAAGAATGCAAAGACTAAAACTCGCATAAATGTTCAAACAAAAGAATGTAGGAATACTCATGCAATACTTGAGGATAAGATGATTTTATTCACGATAAACGTTCCAAAACGACACAGGTACAAAAGTTGGGAAAAGAAAGGAAAAGCTAAACGGTTGCATCTCTGGAACCCGGAGGAAGAGAAGCGTCCCCGCCCTAGGGGAAGTGGGTAGATCCGCCGATGGCTCAACATCTTGGACCTCATCAGTTTGTCCTTCAACATCTTCGTCCTACGGTTCCTCTTTAGTTTCCGAGGTCTTGGTACCGGAACCAAAAGAATCAGAAGCATCAGGCCTTGCCGGGAGACCCCTTTTAGCAGTTGACTCTAGCTAACGGGCTTTAATTTTGGCATCAAATTCAATGATACCCGATTTAGCCTCTTCCAAGGTTTTTCTCCTCAAGTTGTACATAATATAAGTATTTTCAACAACGAGGGAAGGCGCTCGGCAATTGAGTTCTTCTTTAAGTTGGTTAACCTCGGCGGAAAGGTTTTCCCGGGCGGATCTAATAGACTTGAGTCTAACGTCGAGTTCGCGGACAGTAGAGCTGAAAATTCTATTATGATCAATAGTCTTCTTATAGTTCCCTCCAATTGGGCATATTTCACCCCCGCAATAGAAAACTCTTCAGTTTTGGAGTTCAAGGCTGCCTCCAAGTTGGTCAATCTCTCTACGGAGGCAGCCTCGTGATCGGATGCAGCAAGAACGACACTACGGACTTCAGCCCATTTGGCTTTGGCCTCTTCAAATTGGACCCTCAGCAGGGCAATCTCTTAGTTAAGGGTTTTCACTTCTTGATCATTTTGCTACAAACGAGCCTCCAACACAACAACCTCGGCAGATTTGGCTTCTAGTTTTGAGAGGCGAGCAACAGTTTGGTCCCGCTCGGCCAAAAGTTGATCCCGCCCGGAGGTAAGTTCTTCTTTTTCCCGAATCTGCCTCTGGAGGCCCTCGAAAGCAAGGAAATCCAGCAAAATAAGAAAGGCGAACTCAAGATACTTATTCAATCAAAGACATGAGAAATGATAAAGGAAATGAAGAGTGTAACGCTACAGCGTTGTACATGGCATTGTTCAACAAGCATTCTCTTGAAAGAGCCTGTATCTTTTCCCAATCTTTTTCTGAACCCAAAGGCTTCAGATAGATAGTGAGTTCTACCAGCCGGGATAGAAAATTGCATCCGGTAGAGATCGAGAGAGTAACACTCCTCCTCCTTTGCGGATCTTCTGAGGGGGATGCATAAAATTTGCCCCGAATTCCCATAAACTGGGGACTAGGGGGAAACATCCTCTTCCCGGATAGATATGACCGGTGGAGATAACATAGCATTTGCTGGTGGAACAGTTAGTGAAGAAGGAGATGAAGCTGATAGCGTTGAAGGGTGAGAAGCAGCTGCGGCAAGCGCAGTGCTGGTTGTTGGTTTCTCGTCAACTGAAGATGGGAAGGACCCGGTACTCAGCCCCACAATATTGGGTGCAGCAACTGGGATCTAGAAATGGGAGTTGGAATTTTCCACCATTTCAAACTCCCCCCAGAGCGCCGAAGCATCGTCCTCGGTTGGTGTAACTAACTCAACAGATTGGGCAGTCAGTTGAGTTGAGGAAGATCGTCGTCTTCTATGTAGAGAAGCCCCCTACTCGCTAGCTTCTCCATCATCGTAGATCATTATGGTATCTATGGCCAGCCTGGGTGGGGGGGCTCATCACCATGACTTCCGGATATGACTCGGGGGCAGCATTCTTCGCCCTCTTATTCTTTCCCACGGTCGCGGAAGAACGCCTTCTTTTTGGTTGCTTGTTCTTCGGCCGGGGACTCCGGAATGAAGCACTTGTACTAGAAGCAGGCCCGGAGATGCCTGTCTGTGAAAAAGCTTTCTACAGCAGCCTCGGCGCATCAGCAGGATCAGCCAAAACGTCTTCTTCAAGGACGACAACTGAGCCCTGGGGTAGACCTCTATTCAACATGGGAGAAGAATCAGACAACTTTATTATAAGAAAAGGTAAGGACAAGATGAGTTCAACTTACAATGATTTTAGGCCTTCCACCCATATTTCAGGGACAACTCTTTCCACGAGCGGGTTTTGGGCGTAGTAACGTCCAAAATTTTCTGAACCCATTGGTTGAAGCCCTCAACGCTAGGGGGAACCCACTAAGTCGCTGAGGTAGGTAAAGTAAGAGAAGTTAATAATAATGAGGAAGAATCTTTAACATAAGTAGAAGCAAACTGTATACTTACGAGCTCGATTCCACAATTCCGGAAGGAAGGAGCCGAAGCCGGGGTGATGTTACTGGTGGCAACTAAACCAAACCGTTCTACCCACAATCGTTATCATCATCCATTCCGGATAGCAGTGCATGGTGGACTCGCTTGCTGAAGTTAATCATCCCCCCACAGAAAATCTTGGAGGAATAAAGGTTCATCATATGAGCTAGGGATAACTCCTCTCCCATTTCTTGGCACAGGCGCCAAAGACAAGCCATCGTCCTCCACACGGAGGGACTCACCTGTGCCAACATACCTGATAGCGGAGGCAAAACTCCAAAATAACGGAGTCAAGTTCTCCACTCAAAGAAAATGTCTCCAAAGTGAAGGGATACGTATAAAAGTACATGAAACCTTTCTTGGGTAAGGTTACCCGCTCTGCCAGGTCGGGAGCGATAATATCTAAATCGTCGTAATGACAATCTTACTTCACAAAAGGAATGCTGGAAGGACAGATGGAAGAAAGATATCTGCTAACGGCCCATGTACGAGGGCTAACAGAAGGAAATTTCTCTTCGAACTCTTTAGTTGTGACAAGCTTCTATAACGACCCGGCCGGTCGTTTTTGGAATCACGCCCCGATCCCCTATTAACTGTTTTTCCCAAGTTTATTTCTGCTATTTTGATTTGCCGGGATGTTCGGGTTTGAGTTTCGGAGAGTGTTGGGACACTTAGTCCCTAAATGAGAGCTTAAGTGTTGGAAATTGACCGTAGTCGGAACAGTGTGAAGACGGCCTTGGAATGGAAATCCGATGGTTTCGTTAGCTCCGTTAGGTGATTTCGGGTTTAGGGGCGTGGTCGGATTGTGTTTTGGAGGTCCGTAGCTAATTTACGATTGAAATGCCGAAAGGTCGAATTTTGAAGTTTCCGGTTCGATAGTGAGATTTTGATCCGAGGGTCGGAATGGAATTCCGAGAGTTGCAGTAGTTCTGTTATGTCATTTGTGATGTGTGTGCAAAGTTTCAGGTCATTCGGACGTGATTTGGTTAGGTTTTTGATCGAAAGCGTATTTTTAGGGAATTTGGAGTTCTTAGGCTTAAATCCTTGATTAATTCGAGTTTCCGATGTTGTTTTAGGTGGTTTAAGGATTGGTACAAGTTTGAATGAGGTATTAGGTGTTATTGGGGCTTTTGGTTGAGGTCCCTGGTGCCTCGGGATGATTTCAGATGGTTGACGGAAAGATTTTTAAGTTAAGAGATTGCAGATTTTTGCTGCTTCTGATATTTTCGCATCTGCGGTTTGGGGACCACAGATGCGGCTAAGGAGACCGCAGAAGCGGATTTTGGTTGGTTCTTCAGGTTCCGCAGATACGGTGGATCTTCCGCAGAAGCGGAACCGCATCTGCGAGTGGAGGACCACAGATGCAGAACTTGGCCATTTAATGAAAGTCGCATATGCGACATTTTGGTCCGCAGATGAGGTCCCTTGACCGCAGATGCGGAATTAGCTGGGCAGAAATATGAATTTTCGAGGGTTTGGTTTCAAAAGTTGGAAAATCGAATTGGAGCTCGGGAGAGGGCGATTTTTGAGAGGGATTTGAAGAGGAGATCTCTGGGTAACGATTCTTTAACCCTTTCTAGCTATATTCCATCAATCTTTAGTTAATTTCATCATTTGATTTCGGAATTTTGGTGGAAATTGGGGGAAAGTTCTTAGACCTTTAATTGAGGATTTGAGGGGTCATTTGGACTCCGATTTCCGTGTTCTTGTTATGAATAGACTCGTGAGAGTACGAGGTTTCTGAAAATATAAATTTCACCTGATTCTAAGACGTTGGCCTGAGGGGCGTTTTGGTCATTTTACATAATTTCGCGTATTAGCCTTGAATTAAATCGTAGAATCAGTTGCTTGAGATGTTATTTACATTATGCAAATGAATTTAATAGATTTGGGCCATTTGGAGTCGGATACTCGTGGCAAAGTCATGGTTTCGAGTTGATTTGAGCTTTATTCGAGGTAAGTGGCTTGTCTAACCTTGTGGGGGGGGGGGGGGTAGGGGGGGGACATTTCCCCTTAGGATTTGATACTGTGGTAATTGAAATGCCTCGTGCGTGAGGTGATGAGCGCGCACTTGTGGTAATTGTTGGAAATTCGATTTTTCTTTAAAAATAGCCTTGAATTGTGTTTCCCCTTTTCCCTGCTTGCACTGTTTGGATATTAAACCTGCTGTAGCTTAGAGAAGCATGTCTACTTGACTAAATTGCTTTATCTGTCTTAATTGTCTCAATTTCACTACGTGAATCATGCTAGGTTAGGATTACCTGTTTCACTTTGATCTGAAATTGATTGGATTGAATTTTTGCTGTTGCTGTGTAATTACTTTGGGACTACAAAACGGTATTCCGGGAGATCCCCTTGCACTTTATTTTGGGACTACGGGACGGTATCCCGGGAGCTACCTTGTATGTTTACTTTGGGACTACAGAATTGCATTCCGGGAGATCCCCCTGCACATTTATGAGCTGGACTACGGGACTGCACCCGGGAGATCCACTGGACATGACAGTTATATTTGGGGACTACAGGACAGTATCCTGGGAGATCCCCGGCTGTTATCTCGGAACTGAGTTATGTTCTTTTACTGTGTGTTGCTGCCTTTGTAATAATTGTTGTTGTCCTTTACATCTTGTGTTATTTAATTACACTGTCATTTCACAATGTTAAACATGTATCTTATTTAACCTCAGTAGGGCCCTAACCTTCCTCGTCACTACCCAACCGAGGTTAGGCTTGGCACTTACTGAGTACCGTTGTGGTATACTCATGCCCTTTCTGCGCATGTTTTTCATGTGCAGATCTAGGTACTGCTGCACAGACTTACCATCCTTGAGGCGAGGAGAGCTTTGGAGACTTCGAGGTACATCTGCCGCGTCCGCAGACCGAAGAGTCTCCATCTTTATTCTATCTTGTAGTATTAGCCCTTCTATCATTTTGTTGATGTAGACATTCCGGAGTTAGAGCATTTTTACTATCTTTCTCTTAGCTTGTGTTCCCATGAGTTTTCGAGTTTTGGGATAGTATTGTAGAAGGTTGAGATATTGTGTTGTACGTGCCGAGTGGCATTTTATATTTCGTTTCCATTTTGTTAAATTTTGGTTTTAAGATATAACTTCCGCAAGGTTTCAATCGTTTTTCCGCACTTGTTAGGCTTACCTAGTCGTACGGACTAGGTGCCGTCACGACAATTCACGAAGGCGAACTGGGGCCGTGACAACTTCTAGGGATAACGGTGCTCATTGTATTATGATCGGCTTCATTGGCTTTGGTTTTGTTAATTGAGGAACTGATATATTTTGAAGAGAAGCCATTATATGTTATAGAAGAAGGAAAAGCTTTCTCGTAAGGTTGAAGAACAGAGTACAAATTGAATTAAGAGAGTGTGGAGAATTATGGGGTATGAATAAAGGATATTGATGCATATAAGTAAAGTTTTAGGAGACTAAGTTCGTGGCCTTAATTACCTCGATAACCGGCAAAAGTTATCCTGAATCGTGGGACGACGCGTGTTCGGGGCATTAAATGCATAGAGACGTGCGTCTAATCAACCGTCAGAAGCTTTTCAGAGGGGATCAGAGAATTTTTCGCCAAAAGGAATGTTTCTACCAACTTTCCGGTGATACAAAGTTATGTCACCGAAAAGTAGGGGGACTATCTGTATAGGGTAATGTTACACTCCATGTTTTTGTACGTGAAAGTACGTCGTAAGTCAATTGATGTAAGCTCGGAAATGAGATTCTCTTTGAAAGTATATAAAGTGATCTAATGATATTACATCCGTATTTTTGTTCGGCATACAAACGACTAGGTTAAATACGAATGCACGAAAAAGGAGATTTTGGACAAATAAAAACGAGTTGCTTGCCTACCCGACGTGCCTGCTTCACCAACTTACTTTCCGTCCTACTTGCTTGGGCTACTCGACACATGTCTAAATTATTTAATGAGGATGAGACACATATTTCAAAATAGAAAAATAACCAACATGAATCACCTACTTGATTAAGTAGGTGACAAGTAGGTGCATCACCTACTTAAGAGTTTGTGGACCAAATTAAAAGGGAAAGGAAAAGGATAAAGATGGGAAGCCCAACCCATCTGCCCAAGCCCATTAGTAAAGTCATATATACATAGATATTTCACTAAGAAAACAATTTAGAATCCCTCTCTCTCTATTAAAACGTGAAGGAGCTCCAAAACATCATCCTAAGATCTCTCTCAAAGTTATCCTAGGGTTCAAGACCAAATTCACAAGTTGGTAAGGTGATTTCTCTCTTGGAAGATCAAGATCACCTAGTTATCTCTCTCTACTTTGTTGTTTGGGTTAAAGAGCTTGTTTGAGCTTGAAGTAAAGCTTAGTTGGACAAGTACTCTTGCTGCCAAGGTAAGGTTTAACTCTCTGTATTTAAGATCATCTATGTATATCTAGTTGATTTATTAAAGGAAATTTGTGAAGTAGGTTGAACTTCATGTTGAAGTGTTGTACTTGTTCGACTATTTTGGAGTTGAATTCTTGATGTTTTATGGTTGGAAATCAGTAGAAATAATTTAAGAATACTATTGCTATTGTGGTTAATGTGTTTGGAAGGAGAGAAGGCTTGGAAAGTGCAAGTTAGAACTTGGTTGTTGGGTGAGATGGTGTTGACTATTTTGGTGATTTATTGTAACGAATATGAGGTTATATATATATATATATATATATATATATATATATATATATATATATGTTTGTTGACATTTTGGACAAGTTGGTCTTGTTGTTTGATTTGAGGAAAATGAAAAGAATAAG